GTAAGGGACAGACACGTTAGAATGTATTTCTAATTACAAGCACTCTCGCTGCTATTTCAGAGCGAATACACCAAATTAACATGACAGCAGAAAACATTTCTAGGGCGAAATGGGCGCATTCCTCTTAAAACCGTTTTTACGAACTCTAGACATCTGCTGACTTACGCTTCACTGCCGGACAATACGACCTCGTCTCGTAATATTTCAGTAATAAAGTACAGTCCGTAATTCTGTATTCAACATCAGCTCATCAGTTCAACATAAATTAAACTCCATAAAAAACATGAATTAAATTTTAGCATGCCACTTTACATATTTAATGGCTGTGATATTTCTTTTGTTCGACTCCCACTGGTGCCTGGTCCGCGTGGATTTATTTCTAGTGAAATTTTCTTTATATTTATACATCATTAATTGTTGTTAAAAAAATCAGACATTCTCAACAAGCATTGGTGGCTCATTGGTAGAAAGCACGCTTGCAATGTTGGCGGTTCGGGTTCGATTCCAGACGAGGAAGGACTTTTTTGTTTGATAACAAAAGTTTCACTTGCATCTTGGTTTCATAAAACCACACTAATTTTTATCTTAATGTATGCGGTTTCAGATACATACAAAGTGTATAAGTAATTATAAAGTATTTCCATCGAAATAGTTTTTTAGTTTTGTTCTGTGTTTTAAATATTTTTTGGTCAACCCGTCACTAATGCAATGTATACTCACTTATCAATCATTTAAATAAAGTTTCATTAAAAAAACAGATGGCTGTATAATAGAGCGGTGGGTTCTTGGACTTGGGTCCACAATTTTTTTAACAATCATTCCGCTCAGAAGCCGGTACATATTAAATAACAGAAAATAAGGAGTAATATCATTGTCACATTCATTCTAGCTGGTTTTTATATGGATTTATGTGGTGGACCCGAGGTTCACATGCACACTTTAAAGCATGGCAACTCCTACTTGCGGCCATCTTTAAACTGGCATTCATGGCTTATCATGTACAGCGTATAGAGGTCGCGTCACGTAACTAGCGCTGAACAAAATTTCGAGGGGACAGCTGCGCATGGGTACGATGGAGAGCCAATCGGCGCAACGCACGCCCACCCGCGCACCTCGTTTTCCCCCACGACATCTTAATTTTTACTTCTGCGCAATAACGGTGAGCGGTAGAGTTTCTTGTCGCGACTTATACGAAACTTTGATTTGGATAAATATCAATAAAAAACATGAGTGTAAATTATCAACAAAAATGCACCTGTTTACACGTGACAACCCTTGTTTTTATAATTCTCTACATCATTTCCCTTTAGACGACATAAATTTTATCAAAAAATCATATGGATGCAATTTTCATAGAAAAATGGATGTCACTAAATAAAAATCTATTTGCGGCTACTTTTTTTTAGGCAATCCAGGATTAATGCAGTGTATACTCACTAATCAATCCTTTAAATTAGGTTTAATAAAAAAAACAGATGTGTACAGAATTTTGTGACCGGATCTCGGTCTATAATATTGCAGACACCAAAATAAAAGTATGATAATATCCGAAATTTTATATTTAACGAATGACTGAAGTTAAATAAGTAATTAATGATTACTTCTATGTTTTACGAATACTCGAAATATCTAGACTTAGGTTAATTTTCTAGACTTCATACATTCGAATAATTTTATTTGGCAACCCCTTTTTTGTTCGATAAAATGTTATGTATAACCATAATTTAATGTCTTGGCTTTTTGACGTTAATTATGGATAAAATAATGTCTCAATTAACCGAGGATTTTACTTCAGAAAATTCATCCGGTGGGTAGGAGGATTTACTTTTTCTCCCGCGGGATGTAACCCGACTTAATGGTTCCCCGTCTGACACGTAATTTGAGGGTGGTTTCTGATTCGTTTTAAAAGCTGTTACGAAGGGAATTTGCTATCACACTTTGTATGTTTTTAGTGGGACTTGCATTATCTATTTAACTTTTGTAAAGTGTTACGACATTTGTGAATAAACAAGGATGAAGTCCTAAAAAACTTTAAATGTTTAGAAATAGCCAAAATTATTTCAAAATATTGTCCTTTAATAAATCTCTTAGCCGTACAAAGAAACAACAAGATAGTTTAATTTGTTTATTTATTTTATTTTTTTAATTTAAGCTTGATGTCTCATCATATTGTCAAGAAAATATCAATATTTTTGTTATAAGTAAAAAGGGTGGCACATGACCCGCCTGAGGGCCAGCATAGCCTGTATAGCTTGTGTCACGAAAAATATCACATCCGCCGTTGCCTACCCTGACCCAATCCCCTACCCCGTGGAGCCCTGGAACCTTACTCACCGACAGAAACACAAAACAACCAAGGGGTAGTGTTATTTTCCTTTGTGTTTTCTGTAAGGTGGAGGTTACTTCCCCAGACGGGCGCTCCAATTCGAGCGGGAAATCCGCTATGCCATACCTCTCTCATCAACTTTAGTCAAACTTAAAAGTCTCTTCGTACGGCCGTAAGACAAAAAAAGGTTCTCTAAAGAAATGAGCACAAACAACTGTGGAAGACATTGCATTATCTTTGATCTGTGCTCGTTTATTATATTAGCGTCATCAGTGAAGTCGCCCTTCTACAGCCCACTCACCTCATCCGAGGAATCGCAACCATTAGCCATACCTCTTAACTTTTAGTACTGTCAGCTATTGTTTTATCGTTCTAGAGTTTATATTCATATAACTCAGGTTAGCCGGCCCTACCTTGATTTGCCTAAATAAGGCGCCTTCCTGAACGGGTCGTTGCGGGCGCGTTTGGTTTTCTTTTCTGTGCAGAATCTGTACAGATTCTTTACCGAGTACCACTTCTGACCTGCTCGGTTTCGGTGCGTTATCGTTTCGTTTTCGCAAAGAAAACCATTTACTACGGTGTAACGGGACGGACGAGTCGAATAGTTTGGTTTTATTTTCTGTACAGAATCTGTAAAGATTCTTTACCGAGAACCACTTCTTGACCGGCTCGGTTTCGGTGCGTTATCGTTTCGTTTTCGCAAATAAACCGTTTGCTACGGTATAACGGGACGGACGAGTCGAATACTTTGGTAGTATTCGAAAGCAATCGGTACGGAGAGCTGTGTCCGTTCCGCTCTGCCCCCACTTCAGCGTGCTCTTCTGCTTCAGTAGGTTATTCGGAAATATAAAAATTAATAGTGTCTATTCTGGCATGATACTCTTTAAATTAAATTGAAAACAGTGTATCCTTGTCATTCTTTATACATAATGAAAACAAGAGGGCGATGTTTAATTTAGTTTTAAGTTTAGAGAATCATGCCTGAATCTCCCCCAAACATAAAATTACTATATTCGTTGTAGACAACGAGTGGCCAAAATTACTGTAAAAGGTAACAGAAATTATAATTTATAACAAGGTAGCTAAGTATAAATTAATATCAATTGTTCCTTAATAATATTGAGCTAGATCACTTTGACAGTTTAAGATTAAGACAATTTGGTTACATAATACTTAACAAAAAAGCGAGAAAAAAAGGATCAATGAATAACTTCGTTGCGAATTCTATTCAACAGAGCATGTTCTCTTTTCAATATGTTGCACACGTATGAAACTTGCTTATGAATTGGATATCATCATCGGTAATCACTTTTATGATGGGGCGCCGCAGAAATAATCAAATCATCTGGTAGTTTGTAAGCCGGAATGTCCATAACGGACAGACGGCGAGTTCAAAGCGAAGCGATGCCTTTTGTTTGTAACGAATGATGTCGTGCGAATCTAGTCGCACAGAAATGCGAAGGTAGATAGATCCATACTATAGGTACAAACCATTGGCGAGGCCAAACGCTCGCTAGAGACATTACGTTTAAAGGCTTTACACAAACTGTCACAACATACAACATTGTTTATATATTTAATGTGTTATTTTATTTTATTGACAAAGGATATGCCTTTGAGGTCTGGAGGCATCTACTATGTAAACATTTATCCTATAATTTGAAGAGTGCGATTGTGTTGAGCGGATTTGAACGCTAATAATGTTTTATGACTAATATTATGATGAATCTTCTTTGTTTACCGAGACAAAACAAATGTTTTAGAAAATATTTCCTTGATTGATTGCAGGTCTTTACCTTGTTCATATCAAGAGATATTCGTTGATCAATTTGTTTCAAGAGTTATAATAAATTAATGACTTGCGTTGCAACTTGCACTTCATTAATATAGATAAGATCCCTAGTTATGTATGGCACACATATCTTTTGAACGAAATTGGAAAAAAAACTTAAATTAAAACTGGGTTGGGGCGATCAGTACTTCTAATTACGTCCCTAAGTTTGACGACGACACCGCCCATCATTAAAATGTAATGCCTCCTCTACACGTCGACAGATGCATCTGCAGATGCCATCTTCGGATACGTGTAAACGGGGTAGTTTGCGCGTCTGTGGTAGGTATTTAACGACCGCAGGTACGTCTGCCATCAATCTGTTAGTTGTCGGGTTTTGTGGCAACAAAGGGCACAGGCAGACAATGTCCACATGTCTCACGACGCATCAGTAGTACTGGAGTTCCGAATGAGAGTGGACGCGTGCTTGCAATTATTGTTTGCTCTTTCGCCGAAATGGTTAATATTATGAGCACTAACGAAACATTTCAATTCCTCGAGTTGTATTCAAGCAGAAAACTACCTGTGGAATACGAAGAATAGCCAGCTTCTTTTCCATTTCTTTTTAATAATTCTACTGCGACTCACCTCAAGAAGTAGTTAAAAGTACTAAATAAATGAATAGCTGCGGCAGCTACAATCTCAACATTTATTTTTTAAATGTTGTGTGCGTACGAGTTGTATCTGTCCCGAATGAACACAAACTGAATGACTACAGACGTCGTCAGACGTGTGGTTGGCTCGTGCTGATTCATCAGCTGATGCATCTGTCGACGTGTGGAGGTGGCATAAGACTTGTAACCGTTTTTTATGTTCTATTCTAATAGATGTGTATTGTTGCAGGGCTACACTAAGTCGATAGACATCTGGTCAGTGGGGTGCATCCTGGCAGAGATGCTGTCCAACCGGCCGATCTTCCCGGGCAAGCATTACCTGGACCAGCTGAACCACATTCTGGGAGTGCTCGGTTCGCCCAGCCGGGAGGACCTCGACTGCATTATCAATGAGAAGGTAAGCAAAAAATGCAGCATTTAAATTTTTAGCGAAACAACAAATTTCACTGTCGTCCTCAGAAAGAAGTAAGAAATACGCATGTCTTTTTTAAAATATTTTTATTTAGTAGTTTACATCCCCTCTAAAAATATATGAAAATTGCCACATTGCACTGACATTTTTAACGCTCGCTTCTGTGGCACACTCGGTGGACGTAATAGTTAATATCAACAAAACCAACAAGTTCACAGTTAGATCCAGAGGCCCGTGACATACGGACCAGGGATGTTACGGAGCTTCGATTCCGATTCCGTTAAGTCGAAACTTCCGATTATTATTACACCTTCGGTTCCGATTGCGGTTCCGAAACTTTTAAATCGGAGATTTTAATCGGAGGTTGAAGCATAGCAAATAGCGTCTGTGTTAATAATAAGTAAATTTAAATGAAAAAAAGTTATTTTATTTTTTTAAATGAAAAAAGGTTGTAGAATGACGTTTGTATTTTTGTTATCTTAAATGCAAAAATATCTCTGTTTTGACCACTTCCGCCTTTGACTCTGACCCCGACTCTGCCTCCGACATCAAATTTAAAAACTCCGTTACATCCCTGATACGGACAGACAGACGGAGGACAGTGGTGCTATCACTAGGGGTCGCCAGGGTTCCCTTAAAAATGAATCTCTCCTGCTCTTACTATAAATCTCCTCCTTCTATGTCTTTATCTTAACACCTCTTTCACCCTTGGCAATAACCCTAGCAGCCTCGGTCGAAAGTGGTTGTAGACATCTTTATAAAGAAATTACCAATTTTCATGTTAATCACGAATCCATAATTTTATTCGTTTTAACCTACAAAGTCCCAAACACACGAAGTAAAAAAAATACATGGAATGTTTAACTAACCATTTCATTAACACATTAACGTGAATGAAAATCTGAAAGATGAAACTTGATTTAATAAGCCTAATGCCTGTTTTGACAAACACATGTCAAGTTTCCTTATTACCAACACTGGACACCCAAAGTCTGGGATACTTTTATGATTGGGCGTTAAGTGATTTATTAGGTACTAGTGGCCCGCCCTCGCTTCGCTTCGGGTTAGAATTGATCAAAATCCTTTCTTAGCGGATGCCTACGTCATAACATCTACCTGCATGCCAAATTTCAGCCCGATCCGTCCAGTGGTTTGGGCTGTGCGTTGATAGATCACTGTGTCAGCCAGTCACCTTTGAGTTTTATATATATAGATAATGGTGGGAATGAATTCGTTTTATTTATTCATGCCAATCAAGAATAATGTTGCTAAAATATTTTTTCTAAGAAAATACGAAGATACATAAAACAACTCCAGTATCAACATTTTTTTTAGAGAGTGCATACTTTAGTAGATGTGTCCCAGCATGGTGAAATTCTACGAAGGCACGGAATTAGTTAAAGGGTTTTTTAATTTAGTTTAGAAATACCTATTTAGGGGTGGCTTTAAAGTGACGGTAAAAGCCGACACTAAGCTAGCAATATAGCTTCGAAACTTGTCAATAAACCATAGCTTTATTAATTAAGTACAATGTTACAGTTTGCTGATCTGCCTAATTGGAATGGGCGTATTCCTATAGAAGATATATTTACACCGTACTCGTAATTGTTTGCCTTAATTAGTATCTACGGTAGTCACGTGTGTTTAATATTAATATGTTCTACGTTGATGTAGGTACGCTTTGAAAGGTTGGATATTAGAACGAAAAAACTAATTTAGGCTGTCCTTCTGAGAAAGCGAATGCTATAATTTTATTCGTTCTATTTTCCTCCTTAATTGCTTTTTTTATCGTCGAGTGGCTGTATAATGTATTAAAATGAGATGAGACGATTTCTTCCAAATAAAATGAATAAATTTCCGAAGTTATACAGCCATCAGTCACCAATGACACGCACCTTGTCACCGCCCCGTGCTCGCTCGCTTCCTTTTATTATGGGATCGCCGAATATGTACGATATAATCCCTCAAACGAGCATCGTGGCCTTGTTTTATTCATGAAACTCGACAGTAGTCTGGTGGTGAGCTAAGCCAGTTTTCATGGCGTTTGGTTCGCCCCTACACTCGCCTCTGATAGATCATTATTATTCATAGAAATCATAAATAAGGCTGTCCATGAAAAAGTAGCAAATTGCGCTTGTAAGCTATGGCCATTAAGTTTGACGTTGATCAATCGAGTGCTTCAATGAATTTACTACCTCCTTGCTATACACACCTGCCTTTTACTGAAAGTTCCTGATTTGAATCACTCATCGAATTTCGAATAGGTTATCACGGAATCGGATTTTTTTATGCGTGAGTTCTCCGAATTTTGTCTACTTACACAATATTCTTTGAGTTTTACGATATTTAAGCGCAGTAACAAAGAGCATGAGACAAGCATCACTACCATAATTACACCTCAATTATAGCACAATTGACATTAGGATCTAAATCATTGACGATAAAATACATTTCCCAAAAATACCTCAGCATAGCAGTCGATAATTATTTCCTATTTTTAATGGCAAGTTTGCGGCTAACGCCTTCTTTTTTCTCACAATTCAGCGTAACATTGCTAAAGAATATTGAATTTTTCTACGAACACATTTTAATTTCTCAAGACGACTTTCGTGTCTTCCTCCAGACAACTGTTTTCTCGTTCTTGCCGGTCGTCAGGGAGTATAAAATGGCGTGCCTGTATATCATGTATGCGTTCATACAACTCTATGTTGGATTTTATTTTATTCATTCTTATCATGCTATACACAATGGAGTAAGCAGCACAAAAATATACTTTTCTTAAAAAATCTTATTTTAGCCATATTTTCAGCTGAATTTCTTAACTTCATTTCACTCTTATGTCCGTGATTAAACTTTTTATTTCCAAGAAATATCAGAAATATCCTACAACATATACACGTGTTAAAATATGCTATTGAATATATAGTCTGATACAACACCATACAAAAAGATGTTAAGATTTTTCCTTTTATGTGTCATTTGAAGATTGGAGTGTCCGGTATCTAATGTGGCAGTTTCTTGCAATAACGCGAATGCATTCGGTATATTCCTGTATCGAAACAAAAAATTAAAAACACGACTGATGTTATAAAATGAACTAAAATGTAAAAACAATACTAGAATTTATCTCGTTTTACAGGTAAATCCGTTTATTTATGCTACAATCTATATATATAAAAATGTTACGTTGGTTTGTGTACGCTTCAAAAACTCAAAAAGTTCTGCACCGATTGAGTTGAAATTTTAACATGATATAAAATCCGCATCAAGGATTGTTTTTATCTATTTTTTGCATCAGTCACATATCTGCGACTGCTGTGTACCAGTGACCGCGCCATCTGCCAGAAGCGAGGAAAACACTCGCTGACAACCGCAATAGTAATGACGCAGTCACATGACAAACAATTTCGTTCCCAATTACATTGTTTATTTACAAAAAAAATTGCATCTGATTCTGATTATTATACAATCTGAATTAAATATTCACTTAAATCAAGAATTTTTGGTGTGATAGTGTTGTGATCGAACTGCGCCTTTCACCAAATCGTAAGTAGAGGTTTAGGTTTAGGTTTTATATCAAAGATGGACAGTAAAAATATTATTTTTTTGCAATTATTATTTATTTAATATTAATTAATTAAATACATAAGTAAAATATTAGTTAAATAATTAATCAATAACAAAACATATTTATTATTGAAGTGAATCTTTTTTAATAATCGTGTTCCCGAGTCGGCAAACCAGATAGTCTTTATATCTACGCAGACAGTGGAAAAACAAAAAATATTGTATATCCACAAGTATTGCAAAATTAAACTTAGATGAAATTTATTCTTTGTTTTGTTTCTCATTTCTCAACCATTCAATCACAATGTGCCACTGCGAAGCGTGGCAGGGTACAGCTAGTATTTGTATATATTTGATATGGTCTTTAAATGACCTTTTAAATGATACCTTTATCGTAATAATTAGAGGACTTTTTTAAAATTCACATGTTACCCGGTATGGTGAATGGATTCTAACGATACCACAAACATCTAAATCGGTTCAGGCGTTTAGAAGTTATGTTGGAATAAAGAATTGTACATACATACATAAACCTTGAATACATTACCTTTTTGGCCGTCGTGTAAAAAAGGTTACGCTTAATTGGTATATTTATTGTACGCTTACGATGCCACGTGCTTGAAGGTGGGGACACATAATTCCAAGAAGATCTTGAGGACATTGTGTTTTGACTGCAGTGTTTTAACAAAAATATCTTTTTTTTCATATGCTTAAAAGTGACTCTTCAGTAACCGCGCGAAGACTAACGTTTTTACAACAATATTTTATTTAGTTTATTTTTAATTAGTTTAAACTTAACCTGGTTCTTAAATGCACCAAACAGTATACAGTCTGTAAACAGGCATATATCGAACCGAAAAGAGATCAGTACCCCTAGCACGAACCAATATTGAAATCGTATCGTTTGCAAGTACGAAATGTCTTTGTCAAATGTGTAATGATTTTAGGTATATAGTTTCGTTTCCTCGAGGTGATACGTTGCCCTCACTGTGCTGATTAATGTGCAATACGATATAGAATTGGATACAAAAAATATACGGATACGGCACGCCGTGCCGTATCCATATTAGTTTCCGTGCTAGATTACTCTCCTATAAATGTTTGCCAACCTTTACTCGTCTCATCGTGATGTGACGAAAGTTGAATCTCGCTTGTGACACGTTACAAATGTAAAACTCCTTCGCACTTGCATCAAAATTTACCTAAGCTAGCTTTATGTTCTTGTTTATTATGAATTTCGAGACTTTTTACTATACGCAGACTTTTTACTGTACATATTTTTCAACTCCAGAGACCCTGGATACAATAAATTCCACAGTTTTGTTGTACACGGTAAAATATTTCAACTAAGGTTGTGGATAGTCACGGTTCAAGCTTAGCGAGTGTAATGTTCATCGCTATGTACGATGACAAAAATCACATTTCGCGTGTTGAAAGAGTGCATTTGTTGCAGGCGCGCGGTTACCTCGAATCGCTGCCGTTCAAGCCGCGCGTGCCTTGGACGGAGTTGTTCCCGGGAGCAGACGCGCGCGCGCTCGACTTGCTGCATCGTATGCTCACGTTCAACCCGCACAAGCGCATCACCGTAGAGGAGGCGCTCGCGCATCCCTACCTCGAGCAGTACTACGACCCCAATGACGAGGTACTCACTCATATTAAGACACCTTTCCCACAATCATTTTCAGGTTGTCATGCGGGCGGAGCTGTTGCCAAAATTGGATGCATACGTGTTCAATCCGCAGAAGCGCGTCACTGTAAAGTAGGTGCTTGCACATCCTTACCTCGAACAGTACTACGACCCAAACGATGAGGAACACTCGCTCAACTTAAAACACCAGTTCTACATCTCTTTACAGGTTTTCACGTGCGCGTAGCTGTTGCCGTAGATGGATGCGCACGCATTTAACCTGCCATAATACTGCATCATCATCACCATGTTGACATACGACATACTAAGGTTCTCAATGTTGATCGCTCCTGAGCTGTCATGACCTTTAACAGATCGTCTGTGTTCATGGTTTAGGATTTGCTCACTGAACGTCATCCGGCCTCCAATCGGTTCTCCTCACTATGTATTGCCGCCCACTGCCATTTTAGTTAAACAATCCATCGTGCGATGTCGGTTACTTTAGTTCACTTGCTGATTTCTAGCACGCAGGGAAATACTAAGTATCGCCCTCTTTATTGTCAGCTGTTTTATTACCGCATTATCATCATCATCAGTTTATTAATTGAATTCTGGTGTTTTATATCTGTTGGAGAACATTTCACGGTGCCCCACTCCTGGTTAGGAAATTAGGTCAGGGTAGGCAACTCGCGATTATTAGGGTGCTTGTTAACGAGACAATTTCTACCCGGGCCTAGGCACGGTTTTAAACTGTGTCTACGACCGGTCATCAGTTAAGTATGGGACACTATGGAGGTTAGTTAACGACACCAGCGCTAGCGACGGTTTGGTGTCGGTACAAACCATGCTCGTGAACAAGCTTAGCCGGCACCGGCCCGCATATAGGGTTAACATTTAGGAATTTCAAAAGTCCTGACAAAACTCCTGACATTTGGAAAAAAGTCCGGACTTTTTAGTCACAAAATGGTACCATTACTCACTTAGTTACAATGGTATGGTATTTAAATCAAGATGTACTTTTATTATTCATATTCAATGTAATTTAAAAGATCCGGACCGGATCCGAAGAAAAGAACTAATGTCTAGAAATCCGGATATGTCCGGACTAATCCGGACGGATGGTAACCCTAGCCGCATAGTAACCTTGCATAGACCCGGCGAAAAACAGGTCGTTAACAAGCGCCCTTACTCTAAAACCGCCAGCGTTAATAATAGTCTCATCATTTACGTTAAATGCTTGTTTGTCATTCTTTTTACATAAAATAGGTATGTTAGAAGTAGATCATCTAATATATGTTAATGTATGTTAAATATATAATACATGTAGGTTATGCGTTCATAAAAATATACGTAGATCTATTCATAGTAGTTTATTGACTGTTCACTTCACACTACAAGCGACACCACTCTTTCCATCATAGAAGCTTTTTGTTAGTCGCCATTGAATACGTTTCTAGGTCATCGTCACTCAATATTCAGCGGATTATCTTAAAAGCATGGTAGTTTATAACACAGCAGGATAAAGTCCCAGCCAGCTATGTAGTAGAAAATTTTCTCCTGTAAACAAGACAGACGGAGAAAAACTAACAATAATTGACATTTGTTTGTTATTTCAATTTCAACAGTTTAGTTATCCTGTGTCACCCGGGATGGTGAAAGAATTCTAACGACACCACATACGTCCAAATCGGCTCCGGCGTTTAGATGTTTTGATGAAATAAAGAAACACTAGCAAACCAGTGAACCAAATGTTCACCAATTAAAAAAAAATGTATTTAATTAATTGAGAACTTCGGAGATTTTGTGTGGTTTCGTTTGAAAATCGTGATTTCTCGAAAACCGGAAGTGCTACGTTACTCAAATCCGGTTTGTAGTCTTATCAGACTATTCTTAACTTATAACTTAAACATTCTCTTTATCTATCTCTTACGGTTTGGCCGCTGAAACAGCACCACAGACAGACGGACGGACGAACGGACTTGTCTAATAGATAAGAGATACCAACATACATACACGATCCCTAACAATATTACACTGTTATGGGCAGTCGTGTAAAAATATAAAGCAAAGTTCCTAAATTGAGAATAGATCGAGTTTCCTAAAACGTGTCTCAATTGTACTAATTAACACTTGAACCATTAAAGGAACTTTGGCAGATCTAATAAAGATTGGCAGCTCTATACAACATTTAATAAAATACTGTTGAAACAAACGACAAATGTAGAGAACTCAATTAACTTCTACCCCCTTTCTCTCTCGCTCTCTCTCTCTTTCTCTCACTCTCTATCTCACTCTCTCTCTCTCTTTCACACTTGTTTGTTAATAATGAACGTTTGTATCTTGTTTGTTAAATGGATCTATTTACCATCCTTCCCAGTAATCTATCGCCGGTAAAAGTTTAATGAGAATGGCAGTTAGAGGTTTTCAACTATTCACAAGTTTAAATGTGATTCTCAACCATTTATACAATACATTATGTAAAAAGAAGAGTGCAAACTTCACAAATTGGGCATACCTGTTATGAAAAAGTAAATGTGATAAAGGAAGTTAATGTGTACAAAATTAGTGTTTTACCGTTAACAGTGATCCTCGGTATGTTTTAAGGATACTTAGGCCCGTCTTACAGAAAGATTCTCAATAATGAATCTAGTCTTGAGCATAGTTAGAAAGGGATGGCGCTATATATAGCACATAGCGGCATCCCTTTCTAACTGTACTCAAGTAAAGATCAACACTTAGTTGTCATTCTGTAATACGGGTCTTATTTATCACCTCGTGTTCAATAAAATATAATGTAGTCATTCTAGCTGCGATTGACTTAGCGATAACGCTACCTTTGAGGTCCTTCGGCTGGAATGTAGAAAATGAACCATCCTTAATATATTGGCACGGATGTTGATGTTTGTGGCTTACTTAAGTTATTTGTATTAGGGTCGATTGATGTAAGTATGTGATGTTGTCAACAATATTAATTACTAATGTCGCCTACATCTTGCGTGACTGATGAGCTACATCCAGATGTTGCTAAAAGAATATACGTGATCCATTATGTACAACTAAGACAACCTACACTAATGGAACTCCTTTTCCAATTACACCATAAACCAGTACTGTGGCTAATAAAAATATTCAATAAGAGTAATAAGAGTAAAGTACCCAATTATTGGTACTTAAAGCAATACAAAAAAAAGCTTCTTAAATTGTCATATATTTTCTACAGACTTAGATTCTTGCTAAATGTAAAACTTGTTAAATTTCTAATTAAGAGTCTAGACTAGGGACGGGCAAACTTTTTCCTTATCGTGCCAATATTTACTATCAGAATCTGGTTGGCCAATTATGATTTATCATGCGAAAACTAATATTTTCTTTATAAAAAGACAATACCTTTCGGAAATCTTTTAATGAAGATATAACGTTGTCTTCATTTCTATTGGAAGCCGCCTAATAATATTTGTACAGTCAACATCACTCAAACTATACTGTTTGGACTTATCTTGTAAGCCAGTGTAAACAGAAAAGTATTGAGTGTCTAAGGAAACGTGTTGACCTTACCTTTATTATATACAGGGTTAATTTAAAAACACCAACAACCTCTTAGGGGATGATTCTACCCATCAACAGGAACAACTATTACGGGACCAACTCTGAAATCGCGAAAAAAAAACAGCTGTATCATATATTTCGGTCGATTAGCTGATGCACTTTTGTATGAAACAGTAGATTTTTTTTCGCGTTGGTCCTATAATAAAAGTTGTTCCTGTTGATGGGTAGAATCACCCCCTAAGAGGTTGTTAGTGTTTTAAAATAAACCCTGTATAAGAGAGAGAGAGATTAGGGAAGCGCCCTTCTGGGGAAGTAGCCTCCACTTTACAGAAGATCACAGTGAAATAACATTAACACCATCTTTTGGTAGTTTTTGTGTTTCTGTCTGTGGATAGGGTTCCACGGGGTACGGGTCAGGGTAGGCAACGGTGAGAGTGTGATCGTAGTGTATCGTAGTGATATTTTTGGTATCGCAAGGCTATGGTGACCGCTTACTATAAGGCGGGCCATACGCTCGTTGTCCACCCCTTTAACATAAAATAAAAATAAACTTTTTTTGCAATTTTGTGTTGCTTGCAAACAAAACAATAAAATGACTTTCGCGAAAGTACGGGCATCATTAATCTGATTACGACCACACAGTGATCGATCAGTGAGTCATCGTGATTACTGTAATTAATCCGCTACACATTGGACGCCTCCTCATCTCGCCAGCTTAACACAATCGTTTTTACACCACCATATTTGATTATTTTACTTCTTTGGCCCAAGCCGCACTCATTGCGATAGCACTAATATAAGAGACTTAGGACATAGCGGATTTTCAGGTAGAATTGAGTCTGGAGAAGTAACCTTCACCTTAAGAAGATCACAGTAAAATAACACTACCTTTTGGTGGTGTTGTGTTGAGTCTGGAGATGTCACCTCTACGTTAAGAAGAAGATCACAGTAAAATAACACTACATTTTGGTGGTGTTGTGTTGAGTCTGAAGAAGTAACCTATGCCTTAAGAAGAAGATCACAGTAAAATAACACTACCTTTTGGTGGTATTGTGTTGAGTCTGGAGAAGTATACCCTACTCTCTCCATAATGACTCAATTTCAATAACAGCGTGTGATGATCAACGCAATCAAAAGCTTTGGATAAGTCGCAGAACACTCCAAGGACATTCTGCGACCTCTCCCAAGCCTCCAATATACTCCTTACAAGTGCAACACCCGCATCAGTAGTAGATCTACCTCTAGTAAAACCAAATTGTTTCCTATGTAAAAGTTTATTAAGGTTGAAATGAGGCATCAATTGTTCAACAATAATTCTTTCAAATATTTTACTAAGAACTGGTAATATTGATATAGGCCTATAGTTTCCAGGGTCATTTCTATTTCCTGATTTAAAAAGAGGTATAACTTGACTGTATTTCATTAAATCCGGAAACACTCGTTGATCAATACAGTTATTAAATATATCA